CGCCGGTGGTGTTTTTCTGAGGCATAAAAACCTCTGATCATGTCTTCGTTCGGAAGGGAAGTAAAGCCGTTGGTCCCGGCCCATGTGTGTTTGAATGGGTGCGATATCCTACGCAGGTGTGGAAGCTGCCTATCTGCACAATCGATTGCCGTCAATGGATGGCAATCGATGTCCGTCGGTGATTGGCACTAGATTACGGAGCAGAGACCGACGTTACATAAAGAAAAAAAATAAAGGCTTGGTTTTGAGTCCTCAGCTGCAAATTCCTTGCCAGATCATCAGTTTCCGGGCAAATTTATCGGCAAAAACACGCATGAATTTGTTGGAGACATCACCTCGTGCTGTGGCCAGATAAAGCTTTTGTCCGGGAACCTGCCTTAAATCGGCAATTTTCAACTTCTTCGCGATATTTCGAATTGACCATGTCGGGTTTTCGATGTGTGTGTGTGTGCAGGATAAATTTTATTTTCTCATCTGCCATCAAGTACGTAATTTTTGATATTGCACGTATCGAGACGACACTTTCACCACTGAAACACATGTACTTTCAAAACAAATCGCTGTCGAAACATTCGAAATTCAACCACTGGAGGCACTGCTATAGAATAAATAAAGTGTCCGGATTCTAAGTGGACCAGACTATAGGAGCTCACTATATGCTTCTTTGAATAGATGCCTCTAGTCTTGTTGCTATACTACTTGATAATTCTATGTTTCAATGATTCCTTGTAGTGAGTTAACTAAATTGTGGAACAGTAAATGTTGAATTTCACTTTTAGAAGGGCTAATCACAAAACTCATGGCTTCAAAAGATGAAGGATGGCATGCCCATCAAATTTGTTCGAAGACGTCATCACTCTAAATCCACGTTTTCATGGTGCTATTAACTAAGAGAGTGAAATTAGACTTTCAACCTACTGTTCGGTAGTTGCTAATCTGGGGCCTCGTTGTAAGCGCCAAAAAAAAAAACCCCTTTTTTATAGAAGGGTTCAAAAAAAAAACTTCGTTTTGATTTCCGCAATGAATTCTCGTGGGTTCTTGTCGTAGAACTTTGAGGTGATACTGATTGAGAGGTTGTAGCCGACACTGGCCGATCTAGGTTGAGCCTGCGGCTTAAGCGCCATTCCGGTAAAGGAGACCGCAGGCCACGTTGAGTTTTCCCGGATAAGACTGTCTCAGGACGAATCCAAGTGAAAATCTTCCTAGAAAGAAGAGATCGAGCCAGCTTGACTACTACCGAATTTGATCGAGTAGAAACCCCTATTGCGAAACAGCATAATCTCTCACAACATTGAAATAATTCTGAAAAGCTCCCGGTAAGAGAATACACAAACCCTAAGCGACGTTCCACATCAAGTTCTCCTCATCGGTAGCTTTACTTAAATTCCCCCAGAAGCGCAGCTGCAGCAAAAGAGGTAAGCAACATAAATGTCAAATTCCGACCACAACATATTTACACGGACCCAAAACAACGTAAAAATACTTTCTTCCTCTCATTCTAATATTGGATAGGACTGATCAACAACATTACATCGATTTCAAATCAAAACATTTATTTACGAACGGAAAACAGTAAGTTGATTTTTATTGTATTTAAACTAAAGCATGCTTTGGCGGATTTGTGTGCGTGCGGTACAACTACCTCCTATCTGTGTTGTGCTCTTCTCTGTCTTCTCGGTTAAACCCACGACGATGCAGCAAGCGGAAAACGACGAAGCTTGGCACCCGGGTGTCTATTATTAATGGGTTGGGTGGGCGTTCATATCTGACGATACGTGCGCACGATTTATATGCCTACACTCAACCACTCAATCATTGGACTTGTCCACATATTAGCAAAGCATTATGCTCTTCGACCTTATGGTCGGCAAAAAAGGTCCTCGCCGGACGCCACACTCAACAAAGAAATTGGAACAGACTCACCAGTTGGTTTTTGCTGCTGTTGTTTGCTGCGCTGCTGTTATCGGCAGCAACGATGATGTTCGACCGTTGGACGGCCACGAGGGTGGACGGTGATCTCTCCAACAATGGCAGTTGGTATCCACCAAGCCCCGATACGCGATGAGAATTTTAATCGCTTTCCACCGGACAAGGTGACGGTTGCCGGGATCTTTCGCTCCGGGAAAGTAGATGATGTCGTCGAAAGTTGGATGTAGTCGTCGGCTGGCCTAGATTGTTTTTCTACGCACACAAAATATAACCTATGCCGCACACAACATTTTGCTTATGATTTGATAAAAAAAAATACAAAAAATTATACATTAACGCGAACAAAACGACTCACTCCCACTGTAAGCTGCGGTTCGGACGAAAGTCAAGCGAAACCGTGACCCTCAGATTAGGGAAGGTGACCTCGTTCGAACTTAACGGAAGTTCGATTTTCCCGCGAACTTCTTCGCACGAGATCGGTCATGCGAGAGATTATTCTGATCGTTGGTCCTTCGTTCAAAGTCGGGTGTAGCCACACTCTCTCTTTCCCCAACTTTCCCGAAGGTTTCCCTGGACTCGGCCTTGGGAGAAATTTCGCAAGATCGAGAGGCGTTACTCGCGAGGCATTCAAATTTTAACGTAAATCAGCTAGTGTCGTTTCGCTACTGGCATAGTTTTTGGCTTTTTCTGCTTCTTCACTATTCAAGCTTATTGCATATCGCATATTAGCTTATTGCCTGCTCTCTACTTAGTGTTCTAGATGCACTTCCACAGTTATTAACTGAGAGCTTTCGATGCCTGTACCATTTTTGCATCGGTATAATTGTGTGGCAAGTCCAATCATACTCTCTGCCCAGGGAAGTCGAGAAAATTTCCAACCCGAAAAATTCCTAGACCGGACCGGGAATCGAACCCAGCCACCTCCAGCGTGGTCTTGCTTTGTAGCTGTGCCTTTACCGACTGTGCTAAGGGAGGCCCCTGGCTTATGGATTTGATCTATTTCGTGCTAATTTTATTTATGGCTAATTTAACATTTACAGCATGGAGCAAAGGCTACAAGGTTCGTGATTGTTTTTTGCTAAAAGTTCAGTACTAGAGATATAAGAGTACATTTGAGGTTGTAAGGTCATGTACTCTGAGACCACAGGTTGGTACTCCTTAGGAAGAAAGGATGAGCGTCTGACAAACTACCTCTACCAGATTGTGGGGTCATTTTGAATGAATGAAGCCTTACCCGCTAGGAATCCTAGTTTAAAGTTATTGGTTCCATATGACACATAGGCCCTTTTCACAAGTTGGTCTAGAATTGATTTCTGGACCCAGATCCAAATTCATTCCCATGTAACTACTACAAGTGATTTCAATAGAACAAGTGAAGCTGATGGAACATTCCGATGAACTCATAACTTTTCCGAATGCTTCGGATCTACCTGCGGGCCACCAATGATTCCGAGAGTTCACATTTCAAACCCAGCTCGAAATGCGTTAATGTAGGCTCAGTACAAGTGATACAAAAGAAATCACGGGGCTCAAGAATCAATTTCATAAATTAATCACTTTTACGGATGTTCTGGATCTCCACAGTCACAGTCACTGGTCACAAGTGCAGTTCCAGATCCAAATTCATTCAAATATCGTCATTTGAATTGATTTCAAAAGAAATCACGAAATCATCTGTAAAAATGATAGACTCCGGAAACTGATCCTAGAATCATACAATCCATGAATTTATCATTTTTACGGATGCTCCGAAACTTCGTGAGCACCACCCTGAGGCCTAGTAGGTTGATGTTTTTTGCATGATGTACGATTTAATTGTTGGACAAAAGTATATCACCTCGTAAATTTGTTTTCTCCCAAAAAAAAAAAAAAAAATAAAGAGCTTTTCCAGATGAACTTAAAATTTTCTGAAATCTTGCCTTCAAAGAAACAACTTTGACTTGGATATATTTTGGAGTTTGCTCCTATAATAAGACGATGTTACATACTTATGCCAACAAAGGTCAGTGCTAACTGCTGAGTAAGCTACCTCATTGTTTCAATTAATCACATTATTGCTGTCTGGTCCATTGCTCATAGTGAATTCAACCTGAAGAATTTAAATACACATTTACTTACTTAGCAAACAAACACTCTCCAGTTCCCAACTCTGCTCCCAACAGTGAGTAAAACACTTCTAGTGAAAATGTTTACATATTGAGTCAGTCAGTTTGGTGTTTGGTATCCATGGAAGCACGACGATAGCAGACCTCATGGAGATGATAAGCATTTATGAATGCCAATATTTCCATACATAGTATCCATGCCAATGGGCACCCTGCTGGAGCAACCCACAGACGCCGTCGTCCTCGTTCACTTTCACATTCACTACGACACGATGGTGGTATGTAAGGCTAAGTATTTCTACATAGAAATAAATGCGAATCTCACATGAAACCAACATTCACTTGGTTGAACTTGTCTTTTGATATTTCTGCTACACATTGTAACCCATGTACCTAAACCCTTGCCCACACATAATCGCCTGCATAGCCTTGAATGCAGTATCATTCCATACTTTCTCTCACACACTCACACGTAGTGCAAATACGAGGTCACAGTAGTTAGCAAGCAACCCGATCCGGCTATTAGCATCATCCACACCCTATTCACAGACGGGGGTGTGCTTTTTTCACCATCATAAAGTTTCATTTTATTCGCAACTTTTGCCAACCGTAAAACTCTACCCTAGACGACGATGCAGAACGAGCAGAAAACTGCTACGATGAGCCCGATGCTGGAAGGAAAACTTCTACCAACTGACTCCGATGAAGGGGAAGCTGGCTTAAATTAGTGGGCGGAATGAATTCATACATGTACTCCCATATTCATAGCTACGCTGACTAACCAACAAGTAATATGATGATACGGATCTCCTGCGACAGACCGTCGCTGCCGCTGCCGCTGATCGAGTTCGTTCAAAGTGGTAATTCAGTTTGAAACTCAAAATTATATTTATTCAATCCCCCTTCGTAGCTACGTGCAGCATAATCACCGGGTAAACGACGTAAAATAGATGGATGAGTACTCACCGTTCGGTTGCCCAGGTTCTTGACTTTGCAGATCAGTAGCACCGTCTTGCCGACCAGCCCGGTGATGTTGGAGGGAATCGAAGTGGTATCGAAGTAAGGCCCAGTTCCCGGCGTTGGCCACTCCTGGAGAAAGTCGGTCCGGAACTTGCGTGACGCTCCGACCAGTTCGCCTGTAATGAAGTGGAAGGTAAGAGGGAAATGCTGTTAGTATGTCGATATGACTGGGGGAGCATTTTAACTATTTGATTCAGGCATGGTTTTCCACATTTTTTTGCGGTCATAATGTATCAACTTGCAGCAAACCAGTATGCTATCCAAAATGCGTTTAGCCTGGTGACGCACGAGAATGTTGTTTTTCATATTAATTTATTTGATAAGGCTCGAGCAAATTAACTTTACAGAGCCGAAGATTCTTGTTCACTGTACAATACATCTTAAAACTATAGTCGAAAGGTTCTACACAATAACACTTTATCTTCAACTATCCAATAAGCCTCCTCCATCAGAACGCGAGCCGCTTCCAGTGGTTTCATTGTATGGCAGAACCGCCAACGGAGGTTAGAGTGCTTCCATTGCAGCAATGGACGCAAAACGTGGTCAGCACTCACACACTCATCATCAACGACGCGCAGTGGGACGAAATAAAACAAGAGGGACATGACCATTTTCGGCGAAACTATTGAGCGTTGTATTTTGATGTCTTCTAAAATGTTTCTTCAATTTTTAAATACTTTATTGCACTGGTGAAATTTATTGCTCAAGGGGGCTTTACACTTAGATAAAAAAAATAACTTTTTTATGTCTGATGATCATCTATGGAAACATTGTAGATGAAGTCATTTTAAGAAACTTTGTCGAAGACGTCAATTTTCCATCTCTCGAAGTTATAGGGCAAAATTGAAGTACAAACGGTAGTACCCCCTTAAAAACCGTTTATTTTACCATAACTTTTTAGTTTGAATATTCCATTTTTTTTTCAATGTTCTACAAAGTTGTAAGTGCTCTAAAACTGCACACTGCTGCAAAAAAAAAAAATGCTATCTCTTTGGTTTGAATATTTAAGTCCCTTTCTATAATTTTTAAAACGCTATCTGTAAGGGGGTGTATCTACCAAGTTAGCAGGTATTAGCAGCTAATCTCAATGTTATTTTTTTCAGCATCTTCTACTCTGTTGTTGCATATTCATAGGGGGATCCAAGGGGATGCCTAATTATTTTTTTTTAAAGTACCTCAATGTTTTGTTAAGTTTTACGGTTTTATGACAATTTTTAAAATTGTTTACATCAGAGTGGGTTTCCCACTGCCCTTTGTTTATGCTTATTCTGGTCCCCAACTACTGGGCAAAATTTGAATTTGCGGGAGAATTTTCAATTTTGTATGGGAAACCGAACGATCCTAGTCATTTGCTTTTCAAAAATCCAAATATTGCTCAAATTTCACCAAAACTCGGACTGAGATTGAGAATACTATACCAAACAACTTTGTCGAAGCTGCAACCTACTCTAATGTACATACTTGGAAAAAAGATTATGAAAACAGCAAAACGTTGCAAAACATTGTGGTACTTAATTAGAAAATTCATTAGGCATCCCCTTTTATCCCCCTATGAATTGTGTATGTAACAGTAGGATATAAGTTGCTGAAAGAAGTTACGTTGAGCTTAGCTGCAAATACCTGCTAACATGTAAGATACACCCCTTTAAAGTTAGTGTTGAAAAATTATAAATGCGGTTGTTAATCCTTTACATGAAGAGATAGTAATTTGCTTTATTGAACAAAAATGTGCATTTTTAGAGCACTTACAACTTTATAGAACATTGAAAAAAATTAAAAATTCAATCTTTAAAGTTATGGTAAAAAAATGGTTAGTATCGTTTGTATTCCTCTTTCACCCTTTACCTTGTCCACTTGAGAAATAGCAAATTGAGTTCTTGGACAAAGTTTCTTAAAATGACTTCATCTTCAATGTTTCCATAGATGTAAATCAATTTCAATAAGACATAAAAAAGTTATTTTTTATCTAAATGCACTACTCAACTTAAGAACTCAACAAATGATAAAACATTTTAGAAGACATCAAAATGCTACACTCAATAGTTTCGTCGCAAATAACCATGTCCCAGTATTTTTGATTTAGTGCCACTGTGCGACGCATCGACTGAAAGAACTGCTGATGAAGAACCAAGGAGCTGGAAACCCTATATCAATAGTTGAAGATGCTAATTTCAAATAACAGACTGTAGTGGTAATTTTTATACGATAGATGGAGTAGATGAAAGCATAGAGTTGATAGTTCCGTTAGAGTACGGCAGTGAGAGGATTGTATATAGATATTAGAATAGCGAACTAGGACAACTTTTAAGGAAGGTACAAATCGGTTTTTTCATCTCTCTTTACCTGTCCCCCCCCCCACCACCACCGGTATACACCCCTCACCATCCCTCTCCAAAGGGGGAGTTTGGTAAAGAGAGATGAAAAAACCGATTTGTACCTTCCTTAAAAGTTGTCCTAGTTCGCTATTCTAATATCTATATACAATCCTCACACTGCCGTACTCTAACGGAACTATCAACTCTATGCTTTCATCTACTCCATCTATCGTATAAAAATTACCACTACAGTCTGTTATTTGAAATTAGTATCTTCAACTATGTAAATCGTTGACTTCACGTAGAAGTAATACTAAAAACATATAGTCAAAGCCTATATCAATCCTATACGTTTGACAATAGGCAACATCACAGGCCTTATTTAAATACGGCCCGCCTGACGTATACATGGTGGAAAGGGACGGAAAACCGTGTTGTAAGCAAAAAGACAACAGCAGATGATGACATCAACAACATGGCCGCCAGTCAGGCCCCTGTGAAGAACAATGAGGAGGACCACACAATGGTTGCTGCCGAGTAAATAGACGATCGCGTGACACACATCGAGAGTGGCCTGCTTCAGTCGACAGCTGATTGAACACTGCACGAGAATATGGATCTGATTTTGCTGAGATTGCGATTGAGCTTGAATGATCGCACATATCGTAGTTATTACTCCATGATTATTAAAGCTAGGACAACCAACCAAATAAATGTAGCTTGGCTCGCGATTTAGCCGAAAATTTTCACTTACAAGATTTGGAAGCTCATTTACATTAATTTTTCAATTGCGCCGGCCACTGGCATATAGACTGTTAAATAAGATTTAGATTCCCGAAGGCAAGCGGTATCATGGTTCCTTTGCATACCGGCATTAACAACCCGCCTAGGATTGACGCAATGATCTTCTGCTCAGTAAGCCAAAACGGTCGCCGCTATGTCACCGAGTTCTTTATGTCACAATAAAAGAGGAAACATCGAGTCTTCGGTCGAGTTGCAGTTGTTCCGGTTTACAAAGTGTATTCACACATAAACAGCTGTTACTTTTTAACTGCTACATATACCAAATAAATTCAAATTTTCAGAGAAGATTTTTTATAGAATATTGAACATGTGAAAAATATATCATGATTAACTTAATCAACAAAACAAAATATTTTTCGTATCGGAAAGCTGATCATAGTAGTATCATCAGCGTGCTGTCTAGCATAGACTGGGGAAGCGTCCTGGACCCTGATAACGTTGAAACCGCTGCGCAGCTTTTTCACATGTCTTGGCGTATGTCATTGACAGACACGTTCCAAAGAGAGTTCACCGAAAAGGGTCACATCTTCCTTGGCAGACAAGCCAATTGCGAAAGTTTTAAATAGACCAAGCGAGCGGAACTAAGGAAATTCACCAAGTATCGTACGCTATCGCTGAAACATCATTACGTTAGGCTCAATCATGAGTTCAAGCGAGTTAGCCGTCGATGCTATTCGCGATATCAACGTGGGATTCAGAGTAAACTCAAGTCACACCCGAAGTCCTTCTGGAATTACGTTAACGAGCAGCGTAAAGAGTTTGGTCTACCATCGACTGCCGCACCACAACTTAAGTCGTCCTTCAACCCAGGACCCGATGGTGTCCCATCAGTATTTCTGAAGAAGCATATCGCCAGCTTGCTGACACCGTTGCAGCGTCTATTCCGCATGTCCATCTCGAGTGGTAGGGTATACGTCCCTAACCTCGGTCTAATATGCAGCCATCGATTACGTTTTTAATCATAACTCATCAATGAATTTACCTGCAAACGATATTCTACTGCTAAATGGTATGCTTAGATATGCTTATCATGTCGTTTGCTATCAGAAACCACGAAAAGTTGAAAAACTTACTTTTTTTAAGACAATAACTCACGAGGGAAATGTATGTAATATGGGTCTATTGTCCCCAAATTGGGTCTATTTATGGATGCAACTTCGTCCTATCTTGTTTGATCCTCAAAAAAACGCTCTTGGTAACGTTTTCTGATGTATTTTTTTTTATCACTATCACTGTTAACTTAATGCTCTTCATTCCTCAAAACATTTCTTAGAGAAAATTTTACGAAAACTACATTAAATCACTCAATTTAAAAATTAAAAATTAAAAATTTCGCTTATCGTCTTTTGACCGCAGAATATCTAAATCAGAACATTGTGATGTTCATTATACAGGTTTGGCAGAAAAAATCTCCCTTCCTGTTCGTTCCTTATCATCCAAATGCAAAACAACATTGTTGACGTTACTCTTATTGCTATATGCTGTCAAATGAATTTCATGGGCCATAGTTAGGAACATAGAAAAGAAATGTGTCCCTAAAGTTGGGTCCATGTTTTACTTGTGAAAACGTTGTTAAACAATTAAAATAAACATAAAATATTCAAACAGCAACTGTAAGTTTTACGTCTAGTGTGTATTATCAGGTAATTCCAATCAATAAATGCCATAATCAGGCCATTTGATGATCGTCAGTCAACCTTCCCATCTTAACCTTATAAGTCATGGCGGCTAAAAACTCCGAACATTGTGATATTCTCAACCAGTTTTATTACTTACGAGAGCTGAAAATGTATTGAAATGTTGTGATATAAATTGATTTGTGTGTGGTACACATTTATCAACCATCAGTGATCAATATTTTCCTTATTTTTTGTGTAATATTCCTTAATTAATTATTTATTTGCGTGATAGGCCGAATGAAAGGACTAGACCCACATTACATACCGTAACCCTATATTTCCATCTTGTTGGAAATTTGCACATATGTTTCCTGTTCA